AAGAAGCCTTTAAGCATTTTCAACTTAAGTATTTTTCTTTTATAAACCTGCTGCGTGCTTATAATAGAAATTTGAAAAATATGGTAAAGTAGAGATAAAAGTAAAAATAACTTGAGAGTTCTATACCAACGATCACCCTTGACATTTGTGTGTTACTTTGGCTCTTTCTTCTCTCTGGTTCCTTCTCTCTCGGCCTCTCTGCCTCCATCTGTCTGTCTGGGTCTCTCTGCCTCCGTCTGTCTGTCTGGGTCTCTCTCCCTCCATCTGTCTGTCTGGATCTCCTGCCTCTGTCTGTCTGTCTGGGTCCCTCTCTCTCCCCTCCCAGGGTGCAGCCCTGTGCGTTCAGGGTGCTGCCTGGCCGTCCTCCCTGACTCTAAGCAGCAGGTGCATTGTGCTCATGCCCTCCGCCCCCAGGGGCGGCTGTGAAAACTGTCAGTCACAGGAGCAGGTGTCCTGGGTCGTGGTTGTGTGGTGACCAGCTCTTCTGTCTGAGATCTGAGTTCTTCCGGAGACAAAGCTGCTGCTGGCTAGGGGGACGGGGCACCTGAGCCCTCAGGGGGGTGATCTGCAGGGACAGACGGCGGCAGGGCCGACGTCCTATGACCAGAGCCGGTGGGCAGCCTGCTCTCGCCGCAGCTGGAACACGGGATGCTCTTGCCGCAGCGGGAACCCCAGCGGGGTCCTCTCGCCGCAGCTGGAACATGGGGTCCTCGGATCCCTGGGTGCTGACCCAAACACAGCGCCGCTGACGAGAGCAGGCCCCTCTCCCTGGGGGTGCTTGGCTGTCGCCTGTGAAAGCCGACTGATCAGCTGGGAAGTTTCCAGACTGTAGCTGGCGAGGGAACAGCTGAGGCTGTAGATGATGAACAGAGCGATACACACGGTGGACATCTCGCCTGTGGAGAGGACTCTGTGCCCCTCTCTCTGGCTAAGAGTCCGGGAGCTTTTACTACAAACCCGCCTCCCTGGGGCTGGCCATCCGTCACTCAGGAGGGGCAGGGGGAGGCTGCAGCCAGCACCTCCCACCCCGCCCCCCCACCCCCGGGGTAGATAACCCTAACAGAGCGGGGATGCTGGGGCTGCTCCTGCCTGAGCCCGCGTGAAATGGGGCCCGGAGCTCACTGAACCCAGGGTCCGGGGCCTGCGTGCGCCCACGCCGCCTCCGTGTCAAGGCTGGGTGTACATGGAGGCGTGCGAGGTGCAGCCGTCTTACTTCCCTTATAAGTCACCTGCTCACAGACCAGCCAGGCCAGCCGGCCGAGCATCAGAAACATGGCGGCTACTCCTCGAGTCTAGGCCCGTGTTCGGCAAACTGCGGCTCGTGAGCCACATGCGGCTCTTATTGAAACTTAGTGGCCCATGCGCAGAAGTCGGTATTTTGTGGAAGAGCCACACTCAAGGGGCCAAAGAGCCGCATGTGGCTCGCGAGCCGCAGTTTGCCGACCACTGGCCTAGGCCGCTGCTCTGCTCCGGGCCCGGGAAGGCGCCGTCCCTCTCTTCTCATCGCCCCGTCGCTGAGACGGCGTTTAACTCTCCCGTTTCTGTCTAGGCCGGAAGTGCGACCCGAGCTGCCCCAGCGGAAGTTGCTGGGCTGCGGGCAAGGAGAACTGCCAGCCCTGTGAGTCC